CGAACTAGTCTTGAGAAATAATTAAAAAAAAAAAAATGGTGGCCTCCACTCTACTCTCCTTTATCACTGTTGCATTCTTTTGCTCCACATTATCTCAAGCAACCTGGCCATCCCTGTTCAACGGAGGTGGCAACGGGGTCGTCAAATTCGACCCGCCACCGGGAGGATTCCACGATATCGTGGGCATCGGCCCTCAAGTTCCCAGTGTCGATGCACCACCTCTTAGCGCTCCGGTACCACTTCCTGATCATATGGCTCCTGCACCATCCCCGATTCCCCAGGAAGGCTATCATTACCCAATGCACCATACCGTTTACAACTTGGATGATCCCAATCCTCTTCGTGATCCAATGGGCATCGGTCCGCAAAAATATCCTGCTGGTGAGTTGCATCAAGTCAATATAACACTCAACGCCGTTTACCGTTTTCTGACCAAATGGGTGCCTCACCAGCTCCGAGCCCAGATGACGCCTACCGCCATCCAATCAACTTAGATGATCACAATCGTTTTCGTTATCCAAATGAGTTCGGTCCGGAAAAATATCCTCCTGGTGAGTCACATCAATTCAACAACACTAAAACTAGTTTAGCACTTTCTGACCAAATGGCTGCCTCACCAGCTCCGAGCCCAGATGACGCCTACCGCTACGTAATCAACTTAGATGATCACAATCGTTTTCGTTATCCAATGGGCATCGGTCCTGAAAAATATCCTCCTGGTCCTGATCATACGGCTCCTGCACCATCTCCGATTCCCCAGGAAGGCTATCATTACCCAATGCACCATACAGTTTACAACTTGGATGATCCCAATCGTCTTCGTGATACAATGGGCATCGGTCCGCAAAAATATCCTGCTGGTGAGTTGCATCAAGTAAATATAACACTCAACGCCGTTTACCGTTTTCTGACCAAATGGCTGCCTTACCAGCTCCGAGCCCAGATGACGCCTACCGCTATCCAATCAATCACAATCGTTTTCGTTATCCAATGGGCATCGGTCCTCAAAAATATCCTCCTGGTGAGTCACATCAGTTCAACAGCACTCAAACTAGTCTAGCACTTTCTGATCACATGGCTTTCTTCCCGACCAGCTCCCAGCGAGCTCGGCGACTCCCCTCCGCCCCTATTTCGTCAATTTCAACCGGTTCCTCCGATCACCGCCCCTCGCCCCTCGGTAACGTTTGATGGCTCTACTGGCCCGTCTCTTCCTAAGCAAAAACCATCCTGGGAGCATTTCAATGGCCGCCCTGACCTTGAGAAAGTGGCCGACGAACTCAGCGTGGCTATTACAAATAATGACTTGCCGCCGCTATCTCGCGAAAATATGGGGCGCTGGACTGTAAAGAATGAAAATTATCGGGCTCTCAAGGAGCACGAACAAACAAATGTACGTTACTGGCTTGGACAATGGTTTTCTGGAACCCATCCGAACTCGAAAACTTGGGATCAGATCAGTGGTTACATCTGGTCCCTAAAGCAGTCCACCAAGCCAACCTCTCAAATCTGGTGGGAAGAGCCTCTCATCAAGGGCAACAAAGAACACAATCAATATATCAAATTAATACAAATAGGTGACTGGCTCAAATTCTCCGATAGGAACCCTGAACTCCAGCTTACTGGACATGAGGCGGAACAAATTACTAGAGAGATAACCGATATTCTCTACCTGGACAGCAATAGGAAACCCAGAAAAACAGCCTTGAATATCAAGTCATTGATGAAGTATAGTGATACAGGAAGCCCTAGTGTTTCGATGTATGAAGCCCGAACAGGTTCGTTAATGAAGCTCAGGTTGAAGGATTTTCGTCAGCAAGAAACTAAGGAACAATGGAGAAAATTGAGAGAACTTTACTTGTTCCATGGGTACGATTCCATGGAAGCCAAAGAATCTGCGACGATTGCTCTAATGAAGTTTAAGAGGGGTCAAGCATCGTTTGCCGAACTCCTCGATCCCCAACCTGACATTCGTGGTCAAACCTTCTACAACAATGTTAAAGCTCAGATAGCTCAATTAGCCAAGAAAAATTGACTCAGCTAGTCCTGAGGATAGCTTTCCAAATCATCTGCCTCTGGTTTTGATCTTACCAAAATCTGTGGTGTCCTCGATTTTTTTTTTGTCTAAAATGTGCATACACTCTTTTCTTCACTCATCATTCATTCAGTCACTCTTTTCTTATTCATTGTCTGCAACAAGTCACTCATTCCCTACTCATCATCTGCGCTGAATCATTCACCACCCTCCGAGTATCTTCTATATTGGTTTGGATATAGTCTTATTATGAAAATTTACAACCTCGTGATGCCAAATGCTTCAGTCGTGCCTTTTCAATTCTAAAGCTTTTAACACAGTTCTGATTTTTTTATTCTTCTTTTGAACTGTCAAAGAATAAAATCAGTGAGAAATCTGTCCCAGCTTTACTGAGCGCAGGCAAACTTGCCGCTTTCTCCTAGGATAGCCCCATGTATTGATCGCTTCCATGGTCTACGTTTTGCTCTACTACCTCGAGCTGCCTTCTTTACTTGACATAGTTGAGTTGTGTTGGAATCCGCGTGCACCTAGTCAACTTGACCTCAGGGCATCAAGCCATCACCCGCATGCTTCGGTGAGGTTTTTTGAAGGAAGCAGTTCATACATACCACTTGAGCTATGATTATTTTGATAACCGGTTCAGGTCTTGATTGCAACAGTCGAGCTGCTCACATGATGTTTCGCAGTTTCTTTCCTTTCAGGGATACAGACAACTTCTCAGTGGATCTGTTCCGTCTGGCACTCACAGTGTGTGAAAAGCAGGCACACATGCGCAATGCTCACTGTGTTCATTCAAATTGTTTTCTTGTTTTAATTTTCCGCTATCTTTCTTTCCTTAGAACCTCTAGGCTCTTGGAACCATATCCGACCGAGTATTAGCAGTTGTTTAGGCCAATTTTCAAGGGGCTGATCCCTTGAAAGAGGACCCTGGAAACCCCCGAACTATGTGGGTGACCAAAATGTATGAATTTTTTAGAAAAAAATGAAAATCATACGCACGAAAGTGGTATGAATGAGTTTGGTTGCCTTAAAGGTTACGCACCAAACAGCCTATAAATGTATGAATATCCGCCAACTTGGCGGAAAACCTCCCAAAAATGGCCCGGTCCCCGGCTATTCGGGGGGATTTACTCACTTTCCGGGGGATTTTGGCCCAAGCATACGCACGAAATGTGTATGAATGGGCCCAAATGTGCCATTCCCCGGTGCCCCCCGATGTATGAATTTAGTGAAAATTCCGGGATTTTCGTCACCCACATTTATAGGGGGTTTCCAGGGTCCTCTTGAAAGAGATGTAAAGATGGAAATGCGTGGTGCGCAATGGGTGTATAAAATGGATGCGGAAATCTTCATCAATTCCGAATGTCGTGAGCGTCACCATGACTCATGTGACAGGCCAGCCACCCGCCGCTGCGCCTCCAATTGGATCAAGTTGCAAACAAGGTCCACGTGATTGAGCATGGATTGCCACCGCCTTTGACGGCCCGATCAAAGATACGTGGCTTGGTAGCAGTGATATGTACGTACATACTCACCGTTGGAGGGTTGGCTTTTGTTGGCTTGGGCTGTTTGAGTGGTACGGGCCGAGTGTATATCTATATACCCTTCCTCCATCGACACAACTTTTCCAACAAAAACTTGCTTGAACCACCTCACTCTGCTGCTGCAATCAGCCTTAACTCTGGTCAGATCCTTTATATGCCAATATAGCCCTTCAGTATAGTCATCACTGCAGTCGGCCGATTCTAACCTACGTCTTTTGATCGTTACAAGTTATTCAGACTAGCAACCTAATCGCCGAAAATGAAATTGTTATCGATTGTAGGCGCTCTGACCACTTTCGCTTGTCTTTGTGAGTGATCGAGTAGTGATCTAATCGGTTTCTTTGCGAGTCGACGTTTCAAAAACTAATTCCGACTCCTTTCCTATGAAATCTTTCCTTTCAGTTGAGGGTTTGAGTGCAGCGCCAGTCAACCTAATTGGTGGAGGCTATGAATCTAATGGCAAAATCAAGGCCCTTCAGAACAGTGGGGGAAAAACGGTCCTCGTGAAACCGAAGAAACCGCTGCCGTCTTATACGACCGAGTTCTACGGGGGATCAGGGATGTATAGCGAAATGTTCAATTAGATCCCTGGAATTGTCTTACATACCCGTCATCTTGCGCCTCTTTTCGCTTTGTGGATTGCACCCATCACTGCCCACTTCCTCCATCAAAACTGCTACGCAGATTTTATTTACTTACTTAAACCTCTACAATCTATCATAAATTTTTATCCTTCCTCAAAAACTCCTGTGGTAGTTACATTATTAACGTTATTTCTCCTATTACACTCCATCACTCTTCCTATCTCCTATCTCCTCGAATGAGGATTTATCCGCTTCGATATTTTATCAAATTGATTGAACTCTTTCTTTTATGAACACCTTTACAATCCATACCGTTACTCTTCTAGCTTGACGCAAGCCCCTCGTTTCGTCGACCCCTGGTATTGCCTGGCTGGCGCGAATCACCCCTCGCAAAGCGAGCCTCCGAAGCTCCTCCGGAGAGTCCCTTTGGAATGCGCCCCCCGCTCCTCCGTTCGAGAGGGGAAGTTAAGCTAGTTTACTCTTCCGTAACGGTCAGAGGTGAGGAGGGGTCCGATCGCCCCGACGCACCTGGAGTCAGCTTGATTTTGAGGTTGAATTTTGAGTCTTGACCGGGACTCGCTTGGGTCGACCTCCTGGCTGGCCCACGATGGGCTGGGTTGCGATTTCCTCAGTGTGGAACCCTATTACCTACTCATCCCCTCCAGATCCTTCCCTTCCACGTAATGGTCAGGCACTTGTTATATCACACAAGACCCGTACAAAAAAATGGGGGATTTTTGGAATTGAATCTGATTCTGAAGAGATAACTTCACTGAACCATCCCCCCAGATAATCCTATGTATAGGGGCCCTAAATTCAAGAGCTCCATGACTGTTGAATGCTGATCAGATCCAAACCAGCTCATTTGAGATCAACATTTATGGCATCAACATAAATTTCAAAAAGAAACTCATGTCAGATTGATCGCGATCATGGGTAACTTTTCAGTGCATTTTTTGCTTCTTGTAAGCTCTTGGAAGAGTATCACTCATAGTAAAGATTCAATTTATGCAAAAATGAAAAACCCAGAAAAAGTAATAAAAAATTTGTCTAAACAGCGCATAGAGAGAAATCGGAGCAATTGTTTTCCCCCTGAGGTTTACAAATTGAGTACAGGTTAATCGTGCGGGAGGAATCAGTCTGGTTATACTGTCTTGTCAAGATATTAGACAAGAAAATCCGCTGCAAATGAGGAGAATTATCTAAAATCAGTTTGGTGTTACCCAAAAACTTAAGGCAATTAAAAGATTTGGTTTTGAATTGTTCATTCGTTGAGTTCATCGAGGAATTGCATTATCGCATTTGACAAATTAGCATGGAAAATACTCGAGGGATGCAAGATGTCCTGTGATTTTTCCTCAGAATAACAGTTAGATTTTTTGAATCATGTTTTGTTGCGAGGTTTGCTCACCCAGTACATATACAGGTCCGGTTTCTTGCAGGGTGGTTTATTTGGATCCGTGTAGCAGGAACCTAGTGATTGGATTCCAAACTAGAAAGATTCAAGTGGTCAGTGAGCAACTATGTTGATTGCCAAAGAATACCAGTCAGAAGGACAGCGCCTGGTATGGGGTGAAAGATTTCAAATCCCTGATTTACCCTCTGAGGTGCCGATCTAACATCGTCCCAGAAATCTACAGTGTCAAAAACAGTGATTCGCCTCTTGTGCCAGGAGAATTGACGAGTCATTTTCTGTACGGCTTCGACTAATTTCTGAAAACCCCCCGGCAGCTTTCTTAAGTAAATATTCCATTTCCAGAAGAAACATCCGTGGGAATGATGTGAAGCCACTGACAGTGTTAAAGTGATCCGTCATTTGTGCAAGTAATTCTATATACTGTTGAGCTAGAGTAACATCTCCCTTCGATGCTTGAGAAGATTGGCTTAAAGCGAGGGCTGTGTTCGTCAGGGGTGGAATGGTCATCACCATGTAATCAGTCTGAAACCTAAATACCGACGGGGAATCATAATATCAAAGGCTGTGAGTGAGCTATGGATGGTTTTAAAAATGAGTAAGTTAAGCACAGAAGAGGTGAAGTTTTAGGACTGACTTAGAGAGACTGGGGTTGTTTGAAAGCAGAAGCAGTTGCTTGCTGAATTCTTCCACTTGTGTGTTGAGTGTCTCAGCAAGCTCGGGTGTTAGGAGGGTGTCTGCGTTAAGTGTTTGATTGCCAGAAGACGCAGACCTCCAGATGGATAAAATAGGATTGATCCCAATCCATAGCGCGTGGAGGATCCTACCCTCAAATACTTTTCCCGAGATAGGGTGCTGAACGTATTTTTCAAGGTCGGTTAGATAAGTCTGGATTTGAGCAGCTGTGTCAGGAACGGGTGAAGGGGATTGATTGGATAGCTTGTTCCTGATGTGAGCGCCATTGCTTTCAAAATGAAGATTTTGTTCAGGCGAAATAGCTTGCAAAAGATTTCTGGGTTGGGCGCGAAGGTACTAACTAGGCATAGTTAAGGAATGTAATGTTTGAATCCGCTGAATTTGAAAGATTTTGTGCTAAATATTCATCCCAAACGGCTGGTTGGTATGGTAGTCATAATAATCAAAGAAATCAGCTTTCTTGATGCTCTGGCTGTAAAGCGAGTTTGTTTTCCAAATTTTCATGAATTTTCATTTGTTTTTGTTATCCTCTTTTGATGGAGTATAGCATTTCCTTCAGATTATAATGGCAAGGTTTGAACTTTGATGGGGTAACTCACGTCCATCACAAAATCTCCCACCAACCGCGGGTTTGGCTGCATCATGATCAGAATATTTCAATAGGTGGGTCAAGGCCAAAACATATGGAATCAAGTTTGGCTTGATAAAAAAGAATCTGAGTTCAGCTTACCGGCTAACGAAGGTTGATCCTCCGGTGAGCGAGGATGACCATTATCTGTTTTGAATATTACGCTCATGTCAGTAATTGCTTTCAAAATTTGACACATTTTTTTATAAATTACAAAGGACCGACCAGAGTAAGAATCTCCGAATACAATAAAGGCTGAATAGTTGGTCCAAGATGGCTGAAAGGATTCTTGAAGTTCGCTAGGGTCCGATGGGGAATCACTAAGACGTTACGAGATGTGAGTGCTCCTCTCAAAGATATTTGTTGGCTGGAACCAACGGTTGGACTCACACCAAACATGAAGCCTTAGTGATAACCAGTAGCGGTGAGACAACAAAACGAATAAAACGATTGCACGTCCTGTGCTTTGAAATCCACATTTTTTTGCTTGACAATGCGATGGCGGAGGGATCGGCAAGTCTACTCTAGCTGAATGAGTGTGTGCTCTGCGTGAGGGCAATTATTAAAGAAAGTACAGCGCCTAGATTTTCGGACGAATGATGGTCGTGTATGATTAGTTGGGCCAGATATGTAAAACTAAAGGAGAGTGTTGATAATGAGAGTAGTTGCTTGATCTTGTAACCTGTCGTCCCTGAATATATCCTCCAAGACTGAACGAGATGATCTGCAAGTGAAGTGGAAGCTAACCTCGAACCACCCGGGGATAGTGGGAGGTATACTAGCAGGATGATCTTAGCACAAATAATAAGATTGGCGAGAAGCCAACCATGCAGAGCTGTCCGTCCGCGTTATCCTGAAACCTGTCTGATGACGGAGTTTCAGAAGCTGTAACGCACAAAACTTAACAACCTCCCTCAGGCGCGTTCTATCGGCAGATACACATGCTGATCTATGAATGCTGATTCATCGCCTAGGATTCAGGGCTGCCAAGAGAGGGAGTTGTCCCATCTTCTGAAGTTCTGCATAGAGAAACACGTTGGCCAACCCGTCTGAGTAGTTTCCAGCAGTATTCGTCCAATCTCTCAACATACTTCCAAGCTATAGCCGACTCGAACTACTGTCACTGAAGTTGTCCTGGCTGTATTTCAAACTGTCTATTATCGAAAGGATTTCCGCTCAAGCTTGTGAGGGCTTCCACCAATTTCTCGACAAGGTTATGAGCCATCCTGCCCGTGCCGGAGGACAGATGCGAAATAGGTTGCGGGTGCAAACAGTAGATGGAGCAGTGCAAAAGTGATAAGTTCAGGAGTGATGAACTGAACCGATTGACTTGGCTAACCAGACGACCACTGCATTTCCCCAGCTAGATGCCCTAATCCAATGCTCCTGGCAAAGGGGATAGTAAATCGGAGTAACTAACTACTCTTGGTCCGACAGCCAGCATTAACAATCTTTCTCTAGACCCGGACTAGATCTTGATTCGCGCGCAACCGTTTCAAATTCAAATGCTTCCTCCCAAATCGCAGCCAAGTTTACCAATCACACAGACGGATCGGATGGAGGGAAGGGTTTGTGGGAAGGCATACAATAAGCTACTTGAACTGGGTAAGGGCAAGAGAGTGCATGCTAGACTGCAGACTATACAAGAAATTTCTCGGGTGTAACGTGGTAGTAAATATGTTGAATGCATGTAAGCTGATTATTTGGGAAATCTTCAGATCAGCATCTCAGAAATCTTGCATAATGAATGAATAAAAGACTTGTGTGTCAACATATGGTTTGGGATAAATGGAAAGGGCATAGTGGATGGTTGGGTGACATGGATAAGTTGGCAGAAAATGGAAGAGAGCAGATAAGATGAGAGAGAACGGGGAAATGAAAACTTTGCTGAATCCATTGGATGATTTATCATTAGATGAATATCCAATAGTTTAGGAATTTTACAAGGTTTAAAAGATGGATGGATGATGCATTGTTCTAGAAAAGTAATAAGCAATGATAGATAAGACAGAATGGAAAGGTCTTGAGACAATTGGATATATTATGGAATAGGAAATTAAACTGGGGCTGGGAAGGGTATACCTTGTTAGTTAGAAGGATTTCCTTCTGGTCAACAAGTTGGCGTGAAGGACTTCCTTCTGGCTGACAAGGTACTTATTGGGAGAACCAAGGTAAGAGGGGAGGCCAAATTGGGAACCAGCCAAGAAATAGTCAATTTTAAAGTAAACCAGTAAAGTAGAATAGAACAAAGAACACAAAGAAAATAATCAGGTCAAGCTTGATAAAAGTGCAACTCTTGCATAGTTTTTTGTGCATTCCAGTCTTTGAATATGTTTTGTTTTTTCAAGTTGAGGAGTTTGAGGATTGGAGAACTTCCCTTTGGGCTTACAGACCCTTGTAAAGCCAGTATGACAGGCTGTCAAGCTATTTTCCAGGAAAAATTTAGGACCTGTACCACATGTTGGAATTCCTCATTGTCTCTTTGTCTTCTTTCCCTTCCTCCTTAATTCTCACAATCACCTGTCACTTGTTTGTCTCCTTTTCCAGCTGAATATGCATGGTCTCTTTTTCACCTTCTGTCCCACAACCTAGCCCACATGTTGTAAGTAGATAAATAAGCTTGCCATCAGAGTTAAAAAATGAAAACCATCTATTCTGTGTGCCAGCTCCCTGAGACCACTAACTAATAAAGTCTCTTGTAGTGAGTTTGCTTTTCTGTCTCACAAGCTAGCAGCTTAACCCTCAAACATGTTTTGATGTACGCAGGATGAATGAACCTAAAGTTCACAGGATGACAACACTGTGAGACTTTTGGGAGTGAGAAGAATGTTTTGATTCACTGGAGGGAAAAACACCAGCGGTGATCTAGTATATGTAGACTATATATAAGATTACCTGTGTTTTGGTAGAAGCATACTAGAAATGAAATATAAGCATATTTCTAGCTCAACAAAACAGGGTTCTTTGACCTTGTTTCTTTCTCTCTTGAGAGTTCTTGTTTCCGGTTGTTTCCCCCCTTCTCTCAGCTCTCAGTTGAAATTTCATTACCACAGCTTACAATTTTATGTCAGTTCCAATGTTCAACTTGAAAATTGCCACCTTTTGGTACACCAAAGAATTGCCCCATGTACTCCAAGTATTCCTGGAGAGCACTAACATGCACTCCAGAGTTTCTTGGAGTGCACACCAAAAGAAGAAAAACTTGATGATTTTGGAGTACATGGTTGTGAACTCCAAAGAATCTAGAGTTCACAGCTTCACACTTCTGTAAATCATGTACTAGTACATACCCATGCACTCCAATCTTTTTACTGCCCAGGTATTTCTAGTGGTGCACATTCTGTTCACTTCAAATTATTTGGAGTACACAGGGCTTCACTTTTCTTGGACCTCAAATTTCTATTTACTTTTTGGAAACCATAATGGCCTGGTAATCAATAATCTGGCCCTTCTGTAAATAGACAGCTTGACCAGCCCTTAGCAGCTTCAGAAATCTAAAATCAAGTGTCAGAATTTCAAGGATTGAGATTGGAACAATTGATTGATTAATTGATTAATGATTAGCCAATGTTGACAGTGTGTTTTGATCCATTTTCTGTAGACTGTAACAGAAATCCAATCCGGTGTGAAATTATTGAAGACCCATAGCATTGATAGAGAAACAGTGCCAATGCTGCAACAAATACAATACACAGTTTGTATCATGAGGAATTGTACCAACATATATGGCAAAGAGCCAGGTTAAATGAATAAGACTCTCAATAGAACCAATGGTGGGCCACTACGCTACACTACGCTAAAGGGACACTTAGCATTAGCGTAGCGGCGCTGAAAGGGGCCCTCTTTTCTGTATACCCCTGCTACGCTACACTACACTGTAGCGCCGCTAACAGGCGGCTTTTTTCTGGGTGGTGTTAGCGCACCGCTACAGCGCTTTTAGGAGCAAAAAAGGCAAAAAAACCGCTAAAAAGTGCTGTAGCGCGCCTTAACGGGCACTTTTTTGTGCCCTGAGCACGTAGCGCTAGCACAATTCCAACTTTCTGCGCTAACACTACGATAACAGCTAACACAATCTTGTGCCCTTTGCATTTAGTGTTAGCGCAGAAATGTGGATTTTCCGCTAAGGCTACGCTACAATGTAGCACATTTTTGTTGCACTACGCCACACTAACGCTACAGTTAGCGTAGCTGGCCCACCATTGATAGAACCACATTGGTCATGAAAAAAATTACATCAAGACCATGATACATGAAAAAATACATGCCAATACATTGCAAATGTTGTATTTGTTGCAGTGTTGGAAGCACTATGATCTGTACAAACCCATGTTTTTGTAGACAAATAGAGGGCATCTTTCTGACCCTATCATATCAATCATCAGTTCATCATCCTAGAGAACCCTCTCTCTCTCTCTTGATCTAGGCTTTATGGATCCATGCTGTTTTGAGCCCATCTGGAATTGGTAAAGGCAACAGTGGCAACAGTGGGCCAATAGAAATATCTGTATTGGTAATTACACATTGCAAAATAATGAAAAATTTTTGTTACTTTACACACCTGTGGGTGTATTCATGACTCTGTGGACGGTTGATAGCAATAACATTGGGGGCTGGAAAAAGGCCCTCAACAACAGCCCATACAGGCTGTCTTTGCTCAATACAGCCTGTATCCTAGAAATGTCAGCAGGTACCCGGTACCCGGTACCCGTTTGTGGGTACCTGTTTTCCAAAGCGGGTACCCAGAAACGGGTGCGGGTGCGGGTGTCAACATTTGCAGTAAAAAAAGGCAGGTACCTGGGTACCCGCCCTGGGAATGCTTCCCCGGAAGAATTTAATTTGTCATTGGTGGTCCAACACTCCCTTTTTTGGGTGGGTTGGGCTGCACAAAGGTGTCATCAACCCATGTAGGACACCAGCTGGTGTTCTACATGTGTTGCTGAACTAATCTGGTTGCTTTGTTGAGGCCGGAGGGTTCCCCCCGGCCTTTGAGATGGTGTACAGTCTTGATGACTGGAGGAATTCCTCCAGTCATAAAGACAGTGTACAGTCTTGATGACTGGAGGAATTCCTCCAGTCATAAAGACAGTGTACAGTCTTCATCAATGGAAATTGAATAAGTCAAATGAGTCCAAGCAAAAGGGTAAAGCTAAAGATAGATCAGAGAGAAGATAACATTCAAATTGGTGATAGAATAATTTGTTTTTCTTTATTTCTTTATTTTTATTTTATTCTTACTCATATATCTAGTGAATATCAATCTTATATATACCAAGTCATGCAGAAATTCAAGGGTGAGATTTCTGGGTATATTTGCCTGCAAAAATGTGCCAGGTACCCAGCGCAGGTACCCGGGTACCCGCCCTGGCGGCCCTAGCAGGTGCGGTGTGGAAAGTAAGGCGCGCCCTCGGAGATTTCTTGCACTTCTCCGCTCCGCAACACGTCCTACTCCGGTTTGTTGTCCGGGGTAACTTGCTTGATGGTCTTGTAGGTAGGTAAAATAACTATTCTTTTATTGGTTTTGGTAGGTAACACTCTAACTCTCTATATCTAACAATTCTCTAGGCTAATACACAATTCACTCCTAAATCACTCTGTTTTTCTGATATGTTCTGAGTCATAAGTCCCCCCCTTCTCTTTTCCCCTTCCACTCCAAACTCCACTCTTGCCAGCTATCCCACACACAAGTTTCCTCCTGCTTCCCATGCAGTCCTCCGCTGTCACTCCCTCGCACTCCACTTGTCACCCCTCCGACACCTGCCAGTCAGCGTACTCCTCCGGCCGCCCTTTGGATAGGTCTCCCACTGCCGCTTCCGCCTCTGGTCCGCTCCAAACCCCGCTTCCGCCTCTTGGTGCCCCCGCTCCTTTGTAGCCCCTCTGCAGTATACACTAAACCCTAGTCCGCAGTTGGCCGTGAACCCTGGAGTCTGCCAGTGCCCGGATTCCCCGCAGCAAGCTTTTTGGAACCTTGCACATTTGGCCCGCTTTTCCCCGCTTTCCCGCACCTTGGAAAGCTAGACTTTCTACTAATGCCCGTTGCTTTCCTCAGCTTGCATGTGTAGCGTCAGCTCTGCATGCTTTCCGCATCAGCTGCGAGCATTCCGCATACGCCCAAACAAACCGGCCAAAGCTTTGGTCAAGGCGCGCTCTTGCCAATGCCGCCACAGCGGGTGCGGGTGTCAAAAATATTGGATTTTTGAGGCAGGTACCTGCACCTGCTACAGGTACCCGGTGTAAGACTCAAAAAGTGATTGTAAGATCCTTTTTGCTGAATGGAGAAAGGGATGAAATGAGCTGCAAACTCTGCCTTTCTATATTATCAGAAAACAAGACCACCAAGGTAAGCTTGGCAGTTTGGTTGGTGATAATGGATTATGTTCAAAGATGGTTGTATAATTGTTGAAGGTTGATCTTGTTGTCCAAAGAATTGATTGAGTTGTTGATGTTGTTTCTTGTCTTGATGTCTTGATCCTTGTGCTCTTCCTTGATGCTGTATATGTATAATGTAATAGAGGTGGTTCTTGAACCCAAAGGGTCTGGGAGCACTATGCTTCAACCAGGACTGGAACAAAGGACTGGCTCTTCTGTGTAATGTTTGTGAAATGAACTGTGTATATATTTCAATCTGTGAACTGTACTACTCGTGAACCTCTTGTGTAATAAATATGTATAATCTGTGACAGGTGTCCCACCAAAAAATGTGTACTGAGTGGGATGAGGAGGAAACAACTGGCAGGCAGAGGCCTCCTTAAATAGTAATTTATGAGGGATTTTAGCCCCAAGAGACCCCCTGTATGAGGCATTTTAGCTGCCCTGTCTCTGAAAATCCTGAGGGATTTTGGCTAGACTATCTACAATGCATCCCTTTTATATGTAAGCTGTAAGAAAGGAATTCATGTGTTCTGTGGCTGAATAAATGGGAATTTAACTTATACAACTGGTGGCCAACTTGTGGTCCTGTAAGTATAAAAGGAATTCATAATGGAATAAAGGAATTCAACATGCATTATGCAATATACCCCCCAGCTGAGTGCCTCTGATCCTGTGATCCTCCGTGTGACATCCTTGATTCTGCGTAACTTCTGATCCAGTAGAGATATGAAGGTGGTTCCAGTGAGTGACTAGGGGTTAAATTGGCCGTAGATTCCATTTCTGAGGTCCATTTGTACGTATCTTGAGTCCTTCATTGATAAATAATAAAATTTTAAATTTTCCTCCCTTCATACACAGGAATAATGACCACACCGGGTATCGAGCGACATCTCTACTGTATCCCATCATAAACACTGCACAAGGGACGGTGTTGGTTACAACCCCCTGCGGTACAGTCAAACGGAGGCAACCAATATATATATCTTGGCTGGCCCAATCAACACATTATCCTGCCTTGCCTCAGGTTGCCCTTGCCAAAGGGGGTTGTAACCAATACAACCCCTTTTTGTCAGGAAAACATTAAAAAGCATCAAAAGTTCAACTCTTTTTTGAAAAAATAAAAAAATAAAAACAAAGTTGGGTTAATACATTACATATATGCAGGGGCCAAATATCATCATGTCAAGTTATGGCCCACCATTGGGACAGGGTATACATACAGAGTCAACTGTCTGTGGACTGAGTTACAAAACACGCTCAAGCCATCTCATCTTTCCGAACCAATATTTGACGTACAATGTCCAAGGCCCGTTTCCAATGTTCATTTTTTTCCCTTTTTTTTCATTGGACAGAAATACAAACATGGACTTGTTGATTGATTCCCAAAAGCATGTGTTTGCTTGTTTTTTCTTGTGTGGTTCGAGGGTTCATACAGTCACTAAACTGGTATATATATAAGTCGATAAATAACAAATAATACGTATAAATCAAAACAAATTATATAGTATTGACAATTTCTTTTCTTTTCACTTTTTTTGAGGGGGGGGGGATAAAAGGAAGTGGATGTATATATATAAGATCAATATATTGAGACAAAAAAGAGACGAGTTTGAATTGGATGGAGTCTTCGACTATCAATCAATCATTTCATTTTATTCTTTTCACATTTTGAATCTGATTTAATTTTTTTTTTGTGTTCAAGTCCTTGTACTATGATACATTTCTTTTAATCCTTTAATATGCCGAACAATTTCCACTGAAAAAGAAAATGAAATAGAAAATCGATCAACAAGGATTGTAATGGAATGCAAGGGTTTCCGGAGAAGGGGCAGAGAGTGGGGGGGAAAGACGTACTAGCACTCTGGGCATTTTCAGCCTCGACATCATACCGCTTCTCGCCGGAGTCTCTGAGGACGACCAACTTAAAGCCGGCCTGTGGACGATGGATGCAGTCGACGATTTGGGAGATGTGATAGGAGGAGACTTTCCCATTCGCGCTACTGACGAGACTAGTATCGTTACCAGCAAGATGATGATGATGATGATGATTGTTAGCGATCATCGACTGATGGTTGGGAGCGATATGTACATAATCATCTTCGATCGTCAAGAGCCGATCGGATTTGCCGAGGATGCCTCGGCGTTTGGTTTGGATGAGGAAGCTCTTAGAGGAGGAAGTCAGGTCGGTGATCGAGACGTATTTAGGTTGGGGGATCTCGGAGAGACGTTTGAAGATCGAGGCGGAAGGGTTCGTGTTTTGGGCAGAGATGTTACTGTTGAGTTGAGTATTGCGGAGGAGCTTGGAGGAGACCTGGGAGCGTTTGACGAGGGCGAGTGAGTTGACGCCTTGTAAGGACTGGACGGTGCGGTCGAGGGGGACGACGATATCGCGTTGGTGGGCAGGGATGGAGGGAGAGGAGGGCACGAGGAGGGCCCAGTCCTTGACCTGGCCCAGCGACTTCTTCTTCACCAGACTCTCCAGCACATCCGCCAGATACATGTCCATCGTCACATTCAACGTCGTGTTGATCGAGTCCACCCCCTTCCCCGGCGACGGGATCCGCACCTTCAGATACACCGTCGAGCCCGTGAACGAACTGCCCCCAAGCGGCGTCGAACTGTATCCGCCGGTCAATAACGACCCACTCACTCCTCCTCCTACCCCTCGAGCTCCATCGAATATCGTCCCCGAATTGCCCATCAGAGCATTGATCGGTGGCGGTAGTAAGCTGGCCGCTCCCGTGTTAACTGAGCCAGTCGGTTCAACCGCTGCCCGTGTTACTCGCTTAGGCTCTCCCAGGACCCGTGAGGGTCTCCTTTGAATTTGCGTTTGAGCTGCTTCGTTTTGTTTAGCTAAACAAAGAGGTGGATCTGTCAATCCTCGCGCAAAAAGAAAAAAGGATAAGGACCAAGAATTGCAGACCTTGTGCTTCAGTCGCCATCACGATAGCAAACTCATTACTACCGACTTTAGCAGCAGGTCTAGTACGATCGAGAGCGGGGAAGTCTTCATCTACCTCGCCATCATCCTCGACCAACCTCAAGCACCAGGCGAACGTTTCGTGAAGATCCAAGCCATCCGGACAGTTCTTGATCTCGCCCAACTTGGGCTCGCGGTTCTCTTCGACATAGTTCCAGAGTGCGAAGCCCACCACTTCTTCCACACAGACATCGGCCTTCATCGAGCTCTTGATCGGCTTGCTTGGCTCCTTCGAGAACGGATAATACAACGAGATCTTCAGCGCATTCCGTTCCTTACTCGCCAGAAGCGCATAGAAACATCGGAACGGGTTGTCGCCGGATGAGGATGCTGACTGGGCCGTCAAGAGCTGTGTCAAGATCGATTTCTGAACCACCGGTTTCTTCAGCTTGGGATCCTCGAGCTCGATCTTCTTGAACGACAGCTGAGCCCGTTTGGGTTTTCGAGCTCGTTTGGGGGCAGGCGCCGGTTTAGGCTGTTCAGTGACTTGAGTAGAAGAAGTATTGGTTGGTGGTGTTGGGGTGATGGGACCACTGCTGGATTGAGGTCGGCTTGGATTCTGGCCTCCAGTTTGCAAAAGACTCCGGCGGATCCTGCTCATGCCGATCGGACCGGAACCGGAGCGATTTCTGGGGAAAGTGCGTTGACCAGACCCGGAAGAAGTGTCTCCGCCGGCCTTCTCATCATTCATTTCATCCTCTTTGATTTTGGAGACGACCGGATTGAGTTCCAAGCCAGGGATCGGGGTTGGCGTCGTCAGAGCGCGTGCGCGACCTGGACTGAAACTGCTAATGGGCCCAGATGTCTGACTGGTCTCTTGTTGACGGGGCGTTTCTTGAGTGCTTGTATTAGCAGTGGGATTGCCGATCGCCTGACGAAGATCAGGAAGGGAAGGTCTTGCGACTGATGAGGTGCCTCTCTGAAGTCTTAAGCCTGGTGCTAGTGGTTCGACGACCTTGATGGGTGGGGAATCCGAGTCGACCGATGGACCGATTGAGTCTTCTTCAATAATTGGAGGTCCAACTAGCTTGCCCATTTTGATGTTCACCCTTCTTCTCTCCCGGCGACGTACCATCGGAGGAGATTGGTTCCCGTTTCCACCACGTTCGACACCATGAACAGATATGAGTACGTCGGGAGATTGGCCATTAGTTCGGTTGAGCGGATTGGATTCGACGATCGAAGTGGCCAGGCCACTCGAGAGGCTTTTGTTCAGGGAGTCCTTCGTCTCGTCTGCAGGGGTCATCAAATCGATCGAGCTGGTTCCGATCGAACTCAGGTCGCGTTTCGGCCTCCTTCTTCGACTCTTGATGCTCAAATTATCATCCATCGTCCCAGAATCTTCACCGATCTCCTCCAGGTTGAAGCTGCTATCATCCTCTCCTAGTTCGGTACCGGTATCGGTTTGATCGGTCTCAATATCTTCATCACCCGTATCATCTTCATTGTCTGCTTCGAGCAATGGTGCCGGTTCTAATTCGACTCTGCCGACGATCTGAGTTGATCTTCTGGCGTCAAAGGGCCTGTAAGTAAATAGCATGTCCGACATTCGTTTATCAGGGTCATGTTCGGTTGAGTAGTAGACGTCGGCATTACTCTCCGAGTCAAGAGGAGGCTGAGTAAACGGACTAGGGGGTTGATCTGTGATTTCGCTGGTATCGTTCGCTCGACTATTAAGGTTTTCCGCATTCAAGGGTAGATGGCTAGGGGTTGGACTATTGAAAGTCTGATTGGCATGTTCACTGAAGTCAGATGAGATGACGGTATTGGTGGTGGCGATCGAGCTGATCGAGTGTCCCCGTTGGGCGCGTGTTCGACTACGACTGAGGTTGAGGATTGAGCCGGGTGGACTGGCGAAACTGAGTGGGTTACTTGCAAAGGTGATGGCTGAGATTCGACGACGGTGGGTCTTGATGGTGGTGTTGGTAGGGTTACGGGAGATCGGTCTTCTATCCTGAGATTCGTCTTGGTTTGAGAGTTGTGAGGGACGGGAGGCTGGGTTTGGTTCTTCATCACTATCTTCAGGATTCAGTCCACCTCCGGGGATCACAGTCGTCCGACCTTCAGTCAGTGCCAGCGCACCTGCAGCAGGATTACCGTCGAGATTCTGAGTGGTTTGGTGATGAGCTCGATCCAGTGGTGGTTGATTGCTGCTTTGGGATGTTGCTGGCTGTGGTGGTTGAGTGGGAGGGGTTGAGGTGATTGGATTGAGGTCGGTGATCAGTCTGGAGGGTTGCCTGGATGTTCTGATTGATTTCCTTCCAGAGACTCTCATCCCAGCCCCCAAGCCGGATCCCTTTGGGCCGACGATGGTCTCAGAGTAGCGTAGTCCGGTACCGCCAGAGGGTGGGTTTGGTGCTTGGTTGCCATCTGCTCGCCTCCTTCGAGTTCTGATTGGTGTTTGGTCGTTTGAGTGTTGGTTGAGGACTGGGGAGAGGTTCGGGTGGGCTGCCTCGTACGAGTAATTCTGGCCATCGTTGTGAGTCGGCTAGGCCTGAGAGTTGAATGTATGGATTGCTGAGATGATGGTGGGTTTGAGTAGTAGTTGTTGTTTTCGATGGGCCTGCTTCTGGTTCTTGTTGTTGTTCTTGTTCTTCTTGTTGGATTGTTTGGTTTGATGGGAATGAGATTGAGGATGGTCCTATTGGGTCTGGTAGTCTTCTGAGGTAGTTGAGTTTGAGGGTATGTAGGAAGTATCTGGATTGCGAATCAGTGAGTGAGTGAGTCAGTCAGTCAGTCAGTCTGTTTCTTGTTTGGGTGGATGTACTGACTGAGGGTCGACCAGTAAGGACATGGTGTTTCTTGCTTTCGTCGTTGTTTTTTTGTTGGTTGGTTGTTGGTGGGTTTGGGTGGGTGTGGCTGTACTACAATCAACTCAACAACATCTATCTATCAATTAATAGATTTTCCCAATCAGTTCCCTCCCTACAAACCCACCGAGTAATCACTTCAACTATGTATCCAGATTCCTTTGTCTGTTTCCCCCCATCATGAGCAGGTTGTAATTGTCTCTAATCCTCTTACTTATCATCCATCAAGCTTCCATTTCAATCATCAACACATCGAATAAAAGATTACCCCTTACCAAACAGAAACTGCAGCCTATCATTGCGGACAAACACCATGGGTCCACAGAGCATACCACTCGGCTTGCGTCTGGCTCGCTTGGAGCTTGTCCGACATCCGAGCCCGACACCCGAACCGGGTATGTATTCGCTCTTTACTCTTTCGGTGAGGAAGCTGCACCACAAGCCACAAAAAAAAACATCAATCCCCTTGTGATTACATCATGATCCTGTCAGGCCCCCCAAGCACCCTTCACGGAGCCCAACTTCAGCCAATTCTGCGGGCAGAGTTCCTGCTCTAGTTATACAAGACTGTTTGCCCTGCCCAAGGTGAATGCTTAACTTTGGTTGAACCAATTCTCCGCTTGAATAGGTGATAGTAATACCCAGTGGAACTGTTCCCTTGAAATCTTCCATCAATCTACTCCCAGTGTTGATTACCCACACAGTAAATTCAATAAAAAAAAAAACAATCTCCTTGCTTGTGCTCTCTTGCCTGCTGCTTGCAGTTATCTTCTTTCACTGTGCCTCTCTCCTCAAAGCACTTGTCAACCTCAAAACAAATCCATGTGTGTGTTCTTTTTCCTGGTCTGAGAGTGGGACTGTCTCATGAGAAACTGTATTTACATTGCACAAGCTCAGGAGCCATAGGGTGTTCCAATTGCTCTACCAACCATTTAATCTTTTTTTTTCAATTACTCAACATGTTTGGATCAGTGCAAACAAGTTTTTCTTTTGTTCCTTGTGGCATGCATTTCACTGCTTGGTCCTCTTTGAGATCAGTGGACATCATGATCAAAACAAATCCTCCACAACTCCCACCCTGGAGGTAACTGCAACTAAATTAGACTTTTAATTTTCACAGTCTACAACCTGTTTTGTTATAGCTGTTTTCTTTTTTTAAATTTTGATGTGAAGACTCCTTGGACAGGATTTTCAGGATCTCTGAGGATTTTGCCAATTCAAGAGTCCATATTTGTACTCCAATTCTTATCCCACAAAGCCATGATGATCTCATTGTTGGCCACAGCAGCCTACACGGGTGGTCAGCTGACAACAGCCTCTATAAATCTACCCCTCAAAACCAACTAAGCTTAACAGTGTCAATGGCCCAATAATTGGACAACAGCACAGTTTGAATACAGCTCACCTTCATGACAAGAATAACCTGCTAGTAACAACTGAAGGATCTGTGGATACGGCTGGCCACTGTCAGCCCAAAAACCATGGTCAGTGTTTATAATCTTGACTATCTTTGGAACAAACTGTGTTTCGAATCCATTTTCCCCCTTCTGTATGCAAGCACAGCTCATTTGATTAGAACTGGCTCATGAGTAGGTGAAACCTGATTGATTGAAAATGATGCAGTTGGTAAAGATGATGATGCTTGAAGAGGCTCAGATGCGAATACCCTTTGTCCCTGAATTTGAACTGGATGGAGAATTGTTGTATGTATATATGAGTCTCTTGATTTTTCCATTGATCACCCATCAACATTGGATATTTATTGCAATCAAGCTTCTCCATGTTGCCTATTGCAGTTCAAGACCAAAGTTAGATCATCAAAATTAAGCGGGCTCTTCACTGACCATTAATGATCCCAAAGGTTCAGGTCTTGCTGATCATTTGTTCTTGTGATTCAATGGTGATCAAAGAGAGTACTGAGTTTCCAAAACCAAGCATGTGATTTGTAGACCGTATCAGAAAACACCTCCACTTTTTGATCAAGAAGGGTGCCCAGTTTTAAACTGTCAACCCAGACTTCCCTAGCAGTTGAGCTCTTAGCATCTTCTTCAGCCCTTCTCACATCAATTCTCTTCTTATATCTACATGCCCTTCCAGCCAAGGGTTTTGCTCAATCACGGGAGATGGAAGACAGCACGTTTCAAGCCTGATGAGTTCAATGCTGAAGGAGTTATATTACTCAATTCCAGGGCTCTCTCAATCCGCTCATGAAATTCTTCTCTATCCCATTTGCCTGCTCTGGAAGCTTCAATTCTCCCTATATTCACACCCATATGTGGCTGCATTCATCTTTGGTTTACAGCTATTTTTCTTTCTTGTTTCTTGTGATCCTGACTCAGCCTTGAGATTTGAATTGTTAATGATAACAAGATTATGGAGAGAGGAACAGATCTGAAAATCCGTTAGTTAAAAGAGTGCTTATATTTCTGGTTGAGTCGAGCAGAACATCATAAGTCCCAACAACCAAGTAATGAGTGGAACACAGATGATGTAAGAGTGGAATCAAAGATGAACACCGGTTTGTTTGAGCTGTGTTTGTTGTACAAGAATCAGTCGACACAAGTGAGCTATGAGCTTCAAGATCAAGCCTGGATTCATTTTTCAGTGATGAGAAGTGAGTCCAACAGCTGTGAAGCTACGATGTTAGCTTGGACCCACGAAGATCCCAATCACTCAATAATCAGCAACTCAAGAATGATCCTCAACCATCAAAAATGTGGCTCAACCCCCCTCCCTCAAGAAGAAGCTCACCTCAAAAAAAAAAACAGTGAGAATATATGAGGTCGATGCAAGTTTGAGTGATGGTGGTTGGCACTGATCAGATGTGCAAACCAGCAGGATGAGCATTTCCAATTGAGGCCAGTCGGACTGAAGCAAGAATCTCGGTCAATCCAATCGATTCCGAGTGCCATGAGATTCCAAACCATTATGGTTTTGGTAGTCCAAACAAAAAAAAAAAACGGTGAAGCAGGGAGATGGCAGCTTTTTGAGTGCAGTCGTGTCAACAAGGCCATCCATCAGCCCGGGTGTCTCTCAAGCCAAGCTTTGTTTGATGGTGATCATTGATGTCAGATTTGCTTGTGTTTGAACTTAACCGGATCTCTGCAGGGTCCATAGCTCTTGAGACGCTCCTCATGGGGGAAGTGCGCCGACAATCAAGGCCTACGGATGGCTTGCCATCAACACCACCGAGTTTCACGCCCGATTGCGAGTTTTGGGTAAGGTCGAGGATCATAACAGGTCTGGCTACTAAGTTTATCCGATCTGGCGTGCAATCAGCTGTATTAAAGTAGGAACTGAATTTGAAGATCAGAGTGAGTGGTGTGGGGGTGCTGAAAGAGTTGATTGATAGTGTTTGTGGATTGAAAGAAGTGGAGTGTATGGTGTTGAAGAGGATGCCGGATTCCCCCTGATGCCGATGGGTAACTGATTATCGATGGCCAGCCAAGCAAGAAGAGGAATAGATACCCGGGCGATGATTGCCAGCCGGAAGATTCTTGATTAATGAGTGTTTCTTGTTTGGAAGTGGCTCGAGCTCACTTAATGCCTTTGCAGAAAGTGTGCAAAGTGGTGATGATGGATTGCAGGGGGAGTGTGAAATAGTGATGGCGAACACAAATCATCATCCTCCTGGCTGATTAAGATCACACAGCTCACAGCACTAAGATCACCACTATAAAAGAAAACCCACTGCCCACTCCACCATGAGTAGTAAAACAAGAAGCAACCAGACAAACATGATAATAGCACTCTCCAAGCTCAGAAACACCCTCAAACTCAAACAACCCAACCACTCAGCCACTCGCTCAATCCTCAACCTACTCATCATCACCATCCTACTCCTGCTCTGGCTGATTCATCACCACCAACCAGGACCAGCTGGACAGCCAGAGCACTCACTCCTCCAAGGAGGAGATCATCATCATCATCAAACCAGCACACTAGTAGTAGACCGGCCCATCATCCAGATCCCATCCTCCATCCAGCCCACCTCCGCCCAGGAAGCCCTCTCCAGCAGAGCTGCCGAAGCCTGGCTGTCCCGGGGAATCATCCTCTCCGGCTCCGAGCCACTCACCCCCACCCGGCCGATCGATCTCCTCTGGACCTGGGCCAACGACTCAGCCCCCATCCCCATCGAGCAGCCTGCCCGGATCCCATCCGCATACCTCTACCGCCAGCACGACGAGCTCCGCTTCAGCCTCCGCTCAAGCCTCCAAAGTCTCCCCGAGGGCTTCGTCAGATCCCGTCTCATCATCACTGCCGATCAGCCAATTAGCCCGCCATCGACCGAGAACTCCACCCCTCAAATTACTCACTCCCGTCCCAACTGGCTCCCGACACTGCCCATCGAGCACCTTAGCCCTCCCCTCATACTCAAACACCACTCCCATATCTTCCGCTTCATCCACCCTCACAAACTCCTTCAGGCCGCTCAATGGTCCAAAAACTATCTCCCCTCCCACAACAGGTACCCTCCTCTCTCTCTGTGTTGATTGAAAAGACTTCCGCTGATACCCTCTGTACTTCTGTGATCACCCACAGTTTGGCCATCGAAAGCCAGTTCGGTCATCTGGACGGGATCCGAGATAATCTGCTCTACCTCAATGACGACTGCTTCTTCATCAACGTTTGTCCCCTCCCCCAAATAAAAATACAGCGCAATTCTCGATCTGTGCGGAAGATGCTGAGACGGGACATTTTTTTTTTTTTTTTCACTCAAGAAATTCAGCCAAGGTGACTTCGCCAGCGAGTTGTTTGGCCCGGTCTTCCGGATCCAATTCGATCTCAAAGTGGCAGACGATCAGCTGGACCGTTCGGGCACCGATCCGGCGCGCGGAGAATGGCCCTCATTAGGATACAGTTAAGATCATCTTCATTCATTCATTCATTCATTCTTTTTTGGATGTCTCCATAAAGAAACAATTCGAGCTTAGAATTAGCCCGTCAAACCAAAATCAGGTAATTATCTGTTGAGTCAACGCTTCGGGAGCCGCGAGCGAAGATACTTGAGTCATCTCCCTAAGGTCCTCAACATCCACATCATGCGCGAAGTGTCGGAGATCTGGAAGGAAGAGATCTTCCTGGTCAGTCTGCATTGCATACATCACGCGCTTATGTTTATGCCCGGGTTTTTAACCAGAACCATGTTCTGTACATAGACGGCGTCGTCGAGAGTGCGGGGGCAGAGAAGAGAGCTCAACATGATGTTCCTCACCACCTGGTATCAGATCGAGAAGCATAGAGAAGCCATGTGAGTGACATTGTCATTGTCAAGAGAGAGAGAAAGCCTTTTTTGGGGGGAAGGAAGAGGACATCATCAAGATCATAGACTTGAAGATAGTGATTGGTTTTGGAGGGTTTTGCAAGGTTGCACTCGTTTATCATGCTGCAGTCGGACGCGAACCAGGACGGGCTGATCTCGGTTCACGAATGGGGAGCGATGATGAAGCGGATTGGGGCGAGGGAAGAGGGGGGAATGATCGAGGTCACGAAGCCGTTACGGCCGCGGAGGGGTGTTGTCGAGGACGGGCTGGGTGACTCCAAGCCGCGGGAGACGGACTACGAGTGGCTATCGAGCGACGGCTATCCGCTGGTGGGGCCCGATGATCCGGCCGCGGTGCCGGACTACCGCCATCGGGCGCCCGCGGGGCCGAAGACGTTCTGTCGGCTGAACGTGACCGACTGCTTTCTCCGCCCCGTCGTCGACCCGACCGGACACCTCCCCGCGGTATCATCGGAGAGCCTGCTTCGTCGGATCGCCAGCGAGCGGCCCGAGTGCGGCGATTGTCTGCTTGCACTGCTCGTCGGCCAACAGCCCGCTGGCTTCGACGCCCTCCTGCCCCCTAAATCCTTCCGCACTACACTCGCAAAGTGGGTCGAGCCTAAGGCCCTCGCCGGAAGACCCTTCGCTAGCTTCCACAAACGCGCCCCACACACCTCCTTCTTCTCTTCCCCTTTCCCCCGCGCCTCCCGCTTCGCGAGACGCGCCTTCCTCATCGACGACCCCCGGATGTGGGCAGTCAGAAACATCCAACGATACCAATACGTCCTTGGTACTTCTTCTTCTTCTTCTTCTCTAAGATCAGCATTTGTAAGGAAGCCGGGAGGGGTTTTTTTGATTTGGTTGTTCCATTTTTTTTGCGGGGGGTGGGGGAGGATAGGCAATACGCCGAGTCGATTCGACGTCTTGACGACCTACTCAACCAGTCGAAAAGTGCTTGCAAACCTGAGCAGCAAGTTCAACAAGATCAACAACACGTCTGTCCTTCAGGCCCCCGAGCCATCATCATCATCATTGAGAGCGACAAATGAAGCGCCTGCTGCTCAGCGCGCCTTGTTGGTCACCATCAACGACCGCATCTTCGGCCCCCACCTCGCCCAGGTACACGATCTCTTCACCGCCTGGCTTCATGCCTCTTGGCCCACTCCCGCACCCTGGGAAAAAAACTGACTATGTAGAAGTCTTCTCGTAGAACTATATTCTTTATGTATTTATGTAGTTTTTTTTTGCAGGACATTTGTCGGCATCAGAAAAAAAAAAAAGAAAATAGACAGACAGTAGTACTACTTTCAGACAGTCAGATCAAGAGATTCATGTGTTTTTTACTTCCCTTCACTTACACACACATATATTATATTAATGTACTGATATGTTATGTTTATGTAGAAGGCATACAACTAAATATGTATAAGCAAGCTATTCACAATCTACATGCCTGTGTAAATGTGTCTGTCTTTTTATTTGATTGTTTGTACAGTCTCCTCCTAGATGTTTATAACCATCTGCTTTGAGCTCCACAGGGGGAACCCAAAAACTTCAAGTCACAAGAATTTTGTGGAATGGTGTAAAATGGGTCTCAAAGAATTAATTTTACAAAAATAATATTACAAAACAAGATAATTATCAAATTTGTAAAAAATTAAAAATCACAAAATCACAAAAATTGTCTGCTCTAATATTTCTTTCAGGAAAAGATGAGATCCCAGAGATGATAGTATGAGATCTGGAATGAATAATAAGAAGTGAAAATTTGGGGGGAAAAAATGACTACTTGGTGGGTTAGAAAAGGGTGTCTAAGGGGTCATTCACCAAGAAATGTGGGATTCTGGTACTCCAATCTACTGATTTTGAATGCAGGGTGTCCATCCACCATGCTCAAACTTTTTTTTATAATCATTCTTTTCATGTTCCAAATGTGCCCTCTGTGCGTTCAGTTTTCACTCAAACCAAAAAAATTAAAGCTTTCAAAAAAAAGTTGATTTTCTTTTATCTTTTTCACAACTTTTAAAATCTTGTTTTTTTTTTTTTTTTCATATTCATTCTTTGAGACCCATTTTCCACCATTCCACCAACTATTGTGACTTGAAGTTTTTGGGTTCCCGGTGTGGAGCTCAAAGCAGATGGCTATATTAAAGATCTGGGAGGAGACTGTATATAACATGGGTGCAGAGATGTGAGAGATGAAAAGAAGTCCTGTTAAATATGTATGTATGTATCCCCAATCTCCAACCTGGATAATCACATGCTATATAATACCAGACCTGCTTCATTATTTATATAGGCTAAATACCATTGGTTGGATTGGCCTCTTTAGGATGATGGTGCTCTGGGTTTTGAATGTTGTGGAATGGTCCAACTTTCCGCTTCTAATGCAAGTAGGTAGATGTGTTGGGAGGGGTGCAAGCTATCACATAATAATTATGTGTTTGGAAGGCACCCATTGCTTGGTTGCTTCCAAAACAAAACAGGACATTGCAGACCTGGATGGGCCCTCATTTTTGGGAAGAAGTCATAGCATTCCTGAGCTGAGGATGGAAGGGGGGGGGGGAATTGTGAATAGCCTCAGGGGTCACATTTGATGGGGCAAAAAGTGGTCAAACTCGAATAGTGAGGAGAACAGATGAGTTGATTTGAGTGGACTAGTCTATAAGGCTAAGTTTGAAATAGACTACATAGATCCAACTGAACATGACCAGCTTGTGGTTTGAATAATCAATACAATCAAAAGGAACAATCAAAAAGGAACAGAAGGGTATGATCACAGACATCAAAAAAAAAGGAAGATTCTGGATCCAAGAAGATTAAGCCAGGATATATGAGAGACAACATAAAGCCCTCCTTGGTCTGGGTCCTATATGTCTACAAGCTAGGGGTGCAGATATCATACCAGAATTACAGGGCAGACTATAATGAGGAAGAATCCAAGAATGATGAGAGAATTGATCTTAATGATCTGACAAGACTTAAGAAGATCACGGCAAACATAAGAAGATAGAAGAGATCATAAATGAAGAGGAATCATCATTGGGTCAAAAAAATTCAATCAGGAAGTATCAAGTAGTAGATATATATATACTCAAGTCTATTTGATGGTGAGAATTGCTCAAGTTTCCAACCCCTAAGGATCTGCTTTATGAAGAAAAAAAAAAGAGGGGATAAAAATAGACTTGTTTTTTTTTCTGTAGCTAGCTGCAAACATAGAACCAATCTTTTTGGAGTGTCGACAATGAATGGACTCAATCTGAGTCAATTCCTTGACCAGAGAAAGAGTATACATAGCTCAATCACCAAACAATGCTGGTGGGCATCCCAATGTTGGCTTGAAAATACTCCAGCTTGATCTATTGTAGGATTTGTGTGGATGTGGTGGTGGTTAACTTGGACCATTAAGGGTTGTGGGATCCTCACACTTGGAACCAATCATCTCTCTCTATACATTGGTTTCTGGGAACTCATCATACACATTCTTGAACTTTAGTACAGTTCCTCTTTTTTTGTTTTTGATCAAAGTGTTTATAATGTCTCAATTTTACACATAAATATGTATGATTTGTATGAGAGTGTGTTTCTCTTGGTGGTTAAGATGTTTTTTCTGATGAGAGATGAGTGTGATGTGTATTTATGTGTAGATAGAGTGGTGACTGAGTTGAGTTGGCTGTGTACAATTCGGATAAGAGAGTCTCCTCCTCCACTTCGAGATCGAAACCACAACAAACAACAACCACTTCTTAAATGGATCCTCGTACCATCAACTTCAACGTCCTCCGCAGACATGACCCTCAGATCTCATCCATCCTCGACTCAACCTCATATGCAGTCATCTACCGCTACTTCCATGGGGCCTGGTCAAAGACTGGCTTCGAAGGCACCCTCTTCATCTTCCAGCGTGACACCCATCCGTTCTATGGGGTCTTCGTGCTCAACCGCCAAGGACTCGATAACCTCTGCGAAGGGCTGCTCTCTGGCTGGGATGTCGACCTCGACGAAGGCTTGATCATCTGGAGGAGCGCCGGAGCAACCGGAGATGCAGACGACGGTCAGTCATCCTAAAAAATCAGACCACTGACTACTGACCACTAACTACTACTACTACTACTACTACTACTAAAGACGTCATCTACGGCATCTGGGTCTATGAGGAGAAAGATCGAACGCGAATCGCGACTACCATGCAGGAGTGAGTCTACCTACCCTATTCCGGCCAAAACCATCGACCACCCACCAAACTAACTATGTAAATAACTTCAGGCTCATCGAAACTGCCTCGGCTAGCCAAAAACCACCATCAACACAACAACAAGAACAACAACAACAGCCAACACAACCACCGCCCTCATCATCCCCTCCTCCAGTCTCACTCTCCCATCCAGTACCCCGAGTACCGATCATCACTGCCGGCCAGACCATCTCACTCGATCAACTCTTCGGTGTCGGCTCAGTCTGCTCTGAACCTCCACCTCAGACCTCAGCCTTACCTCATCCGGGTGCATCGGTCACCGATCCAGACGAAGAAAAGGAAAACCTATTACCCTCGCAAGTCATGAGCCCCGATCCATCCGATCTACCAAAAGGAATGCAACTACTCGACTCCCTCTTCCAAAAAGCTGCCATCAAATCTCAACCAGGCTCACATCAATCCAACCCCGCCGCTAACTCTGAACCGACCCACCAACATCCTACATCGATTCACCAACTCCTCAACCAACTCTCTGGCACCGGCTCAAAGCCACAAAACCAGATCAATCCCAACCATCAACCATCATCTCAACCGACCCACAACCGAAGAGATCGCCGTCAGAGCTCAGGCCAAGAGAATTTCAAACATCAATCTGCGACGATCGACCAGTCAGCAGCTCAACCCGCCCATCGCACGATCAACCCAAACCATCCTACCACTCGCACCGATTATCCTCGATCCATCAACCACCCTCACTCTCGTCGGAGCAGCGGCGGCTCTTCCTCGCATAGTCGGAATACTAAGATCCCCATCAGCCTCAACCCTACTACCCAATCCCACCCACATACCCTGCCAGGAACCGACCATCCAGTCAATCTCGTCCCAGCCCCGGTGCCGATCGAGAATGCTAATGCTGAAGCTCGCCACAACATCTTGAGCTTACTCGGTCACCCTGCTGCCACCCGGCCGGATGATGTCTATTCGGCGGGAACGACGCTCCCCAACCCAACACTCGTCGCACCCCCACCGGGCAATAACCATACCGTCTGGCCGCACTCATCCCCCGATAGTCGTGGAGCCAGCAATCCACGTAACCTCTACTCCCCGCAACAACACTCGCAACAGGGAGCCGGTCCTACGAGCCACCATGCCTACAGCAGTCCCAGATCTCGCGTGGCCTCCCAGGAACCCTCGCCTCACCTCAACTCACAACAACAACAACCACTACAGCAGGGATTCCACCAACACCCGCTACCGATCCCTTCCTATGGCACCTCGGCCGATCGGACGCCACCTCGAGGAGCGCAGATCAGTTCGGCTAACCACTCTCCCAACGGGCCCCGTCCGCCGATCGATTCGCGACACCCACACCAGTCGTCCGGGGCGGCGAACAACGCCAGTGCAGGCTCGGCCGGCTCCCAGTCGACCACCCATCCCAACGGGGGCGGCGGCTCGGCATGGACGTTCGACAAGCTTCCCAACCGCGCCCTTAGTCCGCTCAACCCGGCCCGTCAGTCGCCGGCCAGTCTTGCCGTCCATCGCGCCCGAGCAGGCCCTCACGGATACTCCAATAACACTCACACTAATAACCGCAAGTCTTTCCAACCAACCCGGCAACAACAACAACAACAACAACACTTGCCGGTCGAAAACTCGCCCCCGCTCGTCAACGATTCCTCTAGACCCAGTCGCTCTCACTCGTACAACGATCACAACACGACCAGTGCTTCGAACACTCGTCAGTCTCCTTCCTCAACTACCACGACTGCTCACCCTCCCGGCCCAACCGTCGTCAACTCGAAACTCGCAGTCGAAAGCTTGGACCGGCTCTTGGTCGACCACAACCTCGACCCGCAATCTCATCATCCTCATCAGCAAACCGTCGATGCTGATAATCCATTGGACAAGGCGCATTTCGTTAATTCTATCCTGGACTTGATTAACGTTGGTTTTTTTTTACCCCTTTTTTCACTCTCTTTTGATCTTTGGGTTTGATGGATTTATGATGATACTGATGGTCCGTTCTTCTTGTCTTGGCCTGCTTCTCATCCAGAATAATGGACCGTTTGTGGACACGTTGTATGCCCGATACTTGGCCCGTTATGCTGAAAAATACTTGTGAACATCCGGCCTCTTTTTCTCGCTCTCTTCATCCCCCCTTCCCTCCCTTACCCTCTCTATCCCTCTGAACAACCTTGCCATTCTTTTCTTGGTTCTTTATCTCTCCCTCTTCTTTTCCCCTTTCTTTTTTTTTGTTTCTGTGAACCCATTTACATATACATATGAATTCCATTCCAATCGGGCCACCAAAAGATTATCCATATTCATATACATCTACATATATAACTCAATCTATCGATAAATAGCTCAAGAAAATTAAAAAAAAAACACCTCTCATAAACGGTTAGCTCCAATGGAACCCATACATATATATGTTTTTTTTTTTGAACAATGAAATACACTGATACACACATGCTGTTATTTTACTTAAATACAAATACATTTATATATATACAAATTAGATAGTGATTAAATTGAAGAAGAAGAGGATGAAGAGGAGTGAATGTTGATGTGTATATACTTACTTTTGTGGGATGGGAAGGGAAGTGGGACTGATTTAGTCTGCTCTGATTGGATGAGGGCAGTCAGGATATTTGATCCATGATGAATCAATCCAAATTTTCTTACATCACCTTCCCCAATATTTCCAAGGAACATAAGTCTTCTGATGATGATGAACTTCTTTGTGATCCATAAGGCAATAATCATCAAGATACGTATGTATTGAGAATCAGGATTTTATATCCCCACTTCTTTATTTATTCATGTTGCAGAACAGTCCCCTTCAACAGGTGCCAGGAGAGCCCCTGAGGGACGCACACATGAAAAATGTAGCAAAATATTTTTTTTTTCTTTTTTGCCACAAATGATACTAGTGATCATGAAAAAAAAAAAAAAAATTGGTAGCAATTCTAGGAAATTGCAATATTTTTTCTCCCACCTAATTAACATCCTTGTGAAAATGGTTGTAATCTTGGAAAATTTGAGGGAAAAAAAAAATGGAAAAAGAGGGAATAAAACAGCCAATTAATACCCAGATTGAGTGAGGGAAAAAAAAAATGGAGACAATTGAAATCAGAAAATGTTTTCAAGGTTGTACCATGGGTAAAAACACCCATGTAAATCGTATCCAAGCTGCATTCTTGAGCAAAAAAAAAAACAATTCTTTCATGAAGCAAAATTGGTTTTGTTTTTTTCAGATCGACATGAGTGTGTTAACCCAGGGCTCACCAGGGACCTCCTTTGTCCGACTTATAAGACAAAGCCAACGATTCCTGGTTCTCATTGCCCATTTCCGATTGAAACGATGATTGAAGAGGCACGGATTTCAGTTTGAGAGAATTGGAATAAAGACTAGTAGTCAAATCCTCGTGCCAGAAGTGTCCAGGAATCTCAAGAATGGATGATCAGGGAAAATGCAAGAAAAAGAAGAAATTCAAAATCAAATCATTGCACAATTTCTCAACTTAAAAGAGTGAGGATAATCTTCTAGGGTAGCCATTTGTTTTTTTAGTTGATTGATTATAGCTGGCTCACATTGAGACTGGCATCATTATGAATCAGCAGGCTGATGATCATTTAGAGGGGCCATGGATTGGTGAAGATATCCAGAATTGTCTGAAGTGTCTTCTGGTTACCAGTACTGCATGGCTGAGTTTTGTGCTGATTCCACGGAATGAATTGCTTCTCATGAGAGATTTGATTGATTGAAGTGTTTCTGGAACAATCACTCTCATAGAATTCTTCATAAACCGCTCTCTGTTTCAATCTGGATTCCTATGCTTCACTGACACAAACTGCAATAGGAAATTCTCTCCAGACAAACATCAAATTCCACTGGTTTTCAAAACCTCTTAGCTCATGGATTTATGATTTGTTGACCTGAAGACTTGGAATCAAATCATTTACTGAGAACCATCAAACCCCAATGGCTATGAATTTTGAAAGGCTCTTGAGAACACATAAAGATATTCATATCCTTGAACATTTGAATCACCCACTGTGATCTATGCATCATCCTTCCTTTATTAATTCTTCACAATTGGACTGGCAGGACTTGGGCCTGAGCCATTGGCAGAAATGTTTGATTGAGCAAAGCTCAAGACACATGATGTATGGCTCTGGTGCAGATTGAGATGAGTTGACACAGCATAGGATCCTGAGATGATAGGGGGCCCTCTTCATCATAGAGGTAAGCTCCAAGCACACACAAATTTACAGATTATGTATTTATAGTCTGCCGATTGAAGTCATACTCTGCACAAATCAGACACGAGCTCTAATATAACAATCACAGCCCATTCAAGACTCCTAAGCTTGTGACATGTTGCTACAGCCTACAATAACAGGAGCTCAGTGCGCCATCATGCACAAGCTGAACAAGATTCACATTGCAAAAAACTCGAATTCGAGTTGGGTGCATATGGCGGCCAACTAGACATAGCGGCCATAACCCGACACAGACACTCAAAGGTTGTTTAACAATGATCTTCCCCAGTTGATGAAAATCTTGCCGTACGGGTGAGACCATGAAAAGGAGGCCGTATGTACCTCGATACACCCGCACATGAATTCTGCATGGATTTCCTACATGGGATTTCCTTTGATCCGACCAGACCGGAAGGACAACCTTCTTCGGAATAAGCTATATGTAATCAAGATACATACAACCAAATTTCTCTTCAGTTTCACGAGGCTACTTGTGCGAATATAGATTCGTATGATTGTTACGAGTTGACAGTATGGTCGCCTCCTTTTTAGGAGATAGATTTTGCTATAGTATTTACAATCAGCGTGGTTGACAAACATAATGTTTCAAGCAGACTGTCAACTCCAGACAGGCAGGAGTAAGCTCGAGAACCAGGCGAACACGGTTGGAATGTATAGCGTGAGCTTGTCGTTGTCCTATGCCAGAGAGGATACATAGGAGAGGATGCATGTGATGAAGATTGAGATTGAGATGGCAGTGGAGTGTCAAGCCTGTTGTCCGGAGGACATGGCAGCGTTCTCCTTCTTATACGATGTTTACGTGGCTGTGCGTGCACCAACATTTTGTGCGTTTTTGCTTGTGAGTCATCCGTCGATTTATGTATTAGAAGCATGAGCCATGTGGACAGGGGGCATGCTGAAGCCTGAAGGCCATGTGCCCCCGGGATCGGCGGGCGTCCGGTTGGCCCGACAAAGACTCCGGAACCTGATTGCGGATCCGTCGGCTTGGTTTTTTTTTGAACTTATATCGGTCAACTGTCAAGGTGTTCATCAAGTGTATGTAACACGTGCCCCCTCCTCCCCCTGAGGCTGGGCCTGCATGCATTGTGAGCACATCGCGACAACTGCTTACACACCGATTGAAAGTCTCGAAATGCTTAACAAATCACTATGGGACTGGGGTTAAGGATTTCCTGTTTCTTTTTAGTGTAAGATCAAGTCCCGCAATGAATAATGTCTTGACTTTTTTTTTGCTTCTGATCATGACTGATCAAAATGTACTTGAGATGGAATCTCGATAACCGGCAGTATGCACACTAGGGAGTTGGCTGATTGTTGGATGTAACATGAGCAGATCTTAAAAAAGATAGAGACTAGACCCTTGAAGTTGGAGCATGAAAGTGTATGCTGTAGCTTCGGCTTAAACCTTCAAGGAGAACACAGACTTTGCTCTAGACGTATTTAGTTCTTCTGCCTCTGCTCATCGAGCTCCGAGTCCCGACAGAGGGATAAATCCCCGCCGGCTGAGCACGTTCCCTCATCCCATGAACAGGCCTGGCTTGGAGCCAGAGAGCGGAGATTCCTTGCCTGTCTCCGAATACCTGCTAATGCTATTGGCGCTGGTGCCGGGCGGGTAGCCCAGACGGGGAGACCTAAACAAGTATTAGATAGACGAGCCCTTTGGTGAATGACTCGCTCGGCTGACGGAGGGAGCTATGGACCGGCAGATCGGAATGTGTCTACATAGGCTTTATCTAAGCTTATTTATGTAGTCCTGATCTTGTCTTTCCTTTCCTTTCCTTTCCTGTCCTTGACTCTCCCTCTAATTTTTTTGGCGGAAAGGGAGGGTGTGCTGGTTGCGTACAAGGCCGGTTGATGACGATGTGAAGACAACAACGGGCAGGGAGACTTCAGCAAGAATCTAAAGCCAATCTAGTGTGTGCTCAAACTATTTGGAGATACTGCTGTTGACTCAAGTCTCATCATCCCCAACACACACACCCTTTGCGCCTTTCACACTTCTCATCCGGGTTCTCCTCCACAGCGCTCTTCACTTGCAATCAAAGGTTCGAGAAAACCCCCACTCCAATCAAAAAGTATGTAGAAGAACCGATTTGTAAAGTGTACACTCTGGAGGCAAGAGGTCGCTTATCATTGACCAAGCTTGATGATAGCTGGATCGAGATGGCTGGATTACGATCATCGTTGGGTGATAGTCTTCCTGCCCTCCTCGCCCCCCGCGAGAGTTTCAGCTTCGATACAACAACGATGCAAGTGTGTCTCCAAAAGCTTCCGGCGGTTGTGCATATTGACATCACACCCTTGGGGAATTATTATTGGAGTTATCGATTGGGTTCTTCTTTCGATCGTGCCTTGAGCTGTAGACTGTAGTAGTTGAACTCCGACCAAGAAGAAGAAGAAGAAGAAGGGGGAAACATCAGAGTCCAGACTAGAAAAAAAAAACGCACGCAGCATCATACGCAACAGCTTAATGCTTTGCTAGTTGATTGCACGACTTGGATGCCGGTGTTTATAGTCTACCTTACCCACACTCACACTCATCACTAGCATCCCCCTATCTTCTTCTTCTTCTTTGATCAAGCCGGCGATTTGCCTCCTGGATCGCCTCTAGCCCTCCCTATATCTCATTGTTTCTCTCTCTCTCTCTCTCTCTCCGGTACAAACTCCTATCAATCTGCCCGCTCTTCTCGTGATAGCACCGCACATTTTCTCTCCTTCGTTCAACTCTTCCGGACGCCGAGCGTCCCTTGAAAGAGAAACACACACTCACCATATGGCTCTGCCGGGATCCGGACAAGCACCCACAAAACACACTTATCTTGATATTACCCCCAACCAAAAAACCAAAACACCCTTAAAATTCTCTCACATTCACACACTTTGTAGGCTCTGATTTCTCCTCTCTAGAACATATTTACATACATATAACCGACATCCCCCTCTGGCTCTCTCATTCACAAACAATTAATAAATAAGGAGGACACAAAAACACACAAGAAAAATCAGCTTCTGATTTCACAACATTCGTTATTGCTTCTTCATCATCTTCTTTTTTTTTCAACTGTCAATAATCAAGAGTCAAGCCATTAATTTTTCATATTTTTTTTTTGGAAACACCTTTCATATTCTATCCTTTAGAGCACTATCAATCAGCATCACCATCATCATTTTTTTGACTGGTCAAAAAAAAAAAAAATCACACATATAGATTCAATAAATATACCAGCTCCCTTATCTTCCATATATCTTTTCTAAACTGACCTCATCAAGCCACCACTTTTGAAGCAACCTTTCAGATCTCTCGTTAACAAGACGTACCGAGTCTCGATTCTTTTTTTTGCAGTCGCTCAAAACCCCCCACAGTCGGCCAGCCCACGGCTTTTCAATCGCAGAACAACATAACATAATCCATTCGGTCATTCGATTACTTGGTGATCTTCCGATCGAAGCTTCGTCCAAGCATTGTAACCTCCGGCGATACAACATACCCCAGACAGACAGAAGCGATTGGATATCATTACATACACTGAACACGGTAAGATCTGTTCCCCTAGTCTTCTCTTCTTTTCCTTTCGTTTCTTCTCGCCCGAGTGGTGTCAGTGTGATCTGGTGGAGGTCGCTTCCTTTCTTGCTCTCAACCAGACCAGGCCAAGCATCTGCCATCTGGACTCTCTTCTGTCTGATTATTATCACAGCGGTGATCCAGATCTATCCATCGCCCGCTTCTTGACCCATCACATTCTCCTTGAGGGCTCAGCACGGACTCTGAGATGCTCCGGTATACTGCCGCATCACCCTTATTTGTAGCCCGGGTGGAGTCGGAGTCTAATCCCGACCTCTAGTCTGTATATGTACATATTTTCGTCAACTGTTAAAGAAAGCCAGAGGGAGACAGAGAGAAAGAAGGCTTTCGCTGTACTGGGTGGAGCGTTCAATTTTTGAAATTGTACAATCCGCTTGAAGTGTTTTTTTTAGAGTTACCCAGCCGAAAGATTCCTGATCGAAAGCCTGTGGTTGACAAGCCTGTGTGGACATCCTCAATGGGGGCGTTAATATGTACGCGAAGCATGAATCGTTGATCAAATATTCGTGATGGGTTAAAATACTGTTCAACTGCAGCAAAGAAATTGACAGCATATTTATGTTGGCCACACCATGATGCTCCCACATAGCGGAAAATCTGGGTTTATATCAATCTCCGAGCCTGGCTTGGGACAACTCCGATTGTTGTGACCCATCGTCTTTGCTTTTTTGTTAACGATTCGCCGGCTTCTGGATGACCCACCACGGACGATGTGGATGATCTTGATCTGATCGTGATCTCATTGGATTCCGACGAATCCCCCTCAGAGCAAATTCATATATCTGTGCTTGCTCAGCAGCATCAAGCTTCAAGTCACCATATCCCCCCCTTCAAAGCAACTCATCTAAACATCCCATCTCCACAACCCATTCTCGTCCAAATTTCTCTCCGACGACCACAACGACCAAAAACGACAACGACAACAACGACCAGGATAACATCAAACGCTCTGGGTGTGACTTCTGTGCCAATTCCACCAAAGCTTGGCCATTCGTTCTACTAGAGCATCCATCCCCTAGAATCTCACTTCATAAACTTTAACCCGACCTTTGGAAGTGACTGTCTTATGACCTTAACGAAGTTCGTGCTTGGATGATCACTACATAGCTGGTTCATGATATTTATTTACATAGCACCAGCACCACCAGCAGCAGCAGCAGCAGCAATGATGATGATGATGATGATGAACGCGATCGAGTTGATGAGAGAGGGTTATTAATGACTCTTAACTCTACCAACAACCTGTTTTTCCAATATTTTTTTTTCGAAATCCACACATCCTATCCTCCTCCAGTGCTTTCACTTCTGAGGATTTGTTAAATACTCTCCCCCTGCTATCTTCTATCCGTGTCTGTCTATCTCCACTCTATTCGATCAGCTCTCCGCCGTCTGAAAAAAACAAACCATCGTCTCCCTCCTCAACTGTAGTCTCAACAAACACCCACACTGTCGAGTAGTACTAGTAGTACCAGCAAGCGCAAGCAGTCTTTCCTCATCTGACTTTTCTCTCCTCGATTTCAACAGACTCATAAATTGTTTATTTTTTACCTCCTTGTACACACACACCACTAACACGCTATATC